TTCAGAATCCGAGCGTCCGACCCCTCGCTCCGTACCCGCCCGGGGAACCCACCCCAGCTTCTCCCGCCTGGCCCTCCACTCAAGCCCGGTGCTGCGACCCGTTCGACCTCCCGAAGGAGCGCTCCGCCCGCAGCCCAACGGCAGAGCCTGTGTCCTGCGCTCTAGTCCCGAGCGTCCCCGCCACGCCGGGAGAGTGGGTCCCGACCTACTAACGGTAGCGTAGTCCCATTGTTGCATCTCGCTGATCCAACACTTGGAGGCGCCCGCGGGGACCCGTCTCCCTGGTGTCTGCAGGCCGCATGACCCCTTTCCACGGGGTCCGTACTCCAGCCGCACGCACCGAAACGAGGTTAGCCATTCCCCAGTCCAAAGTCCTCCCGTCCTCGCTGCCCACCCACTTCCTCTCTTCACTAGCTTCTCTCTACTCCTCTAATGTGGGTCTTTGCATATGGTTTCCTTTGCCTGGGACTCACTTCCCTCCCTCACAGCATAAGGTCATCACACTCCCAGTCGCTGTCACATTGCTCTATTGTCTTTGTAGGACTTACAACTCCAAATTATTTCTGAGCAGACAGGACAGCTGGCGAGGGTGTGGAGGGAGGTGCTCTGTGGCCATAAGAGTTTGTTTAACCCTGCACACCTTTCCAGTCAGCCCTGACCTGTCCTCGATGTCCTGAGGGAAGGACCCAGGGGAGAGGCCCTAAGGGTCCTCCTATTCCTGTCCAGGGACTGGTCCAGCCACATTCCCCACTGGAAGCCTGGGCCCAGGGTGCAGGGGGTGTGGGCACAAACAGGCCAGTGTATGCAGGTGGGTGTTCTGGGACATAGTGCACATAGGCATAGTGAGCCTTGGAGAGGAGGTGCTGGGAGTTTCAGGGAGGTGTGGGGCTGCTAGAACTGGACAAGACCCTACCTTCTTGGCTTTGGGTCTGTGCCCTTCTCCCTGGTGCCTGGTTCTGCAGTTCAAGACCTCCTGCCACACCTCCCAGGACCCTCCTAGCAAAGTAGCTCTTAGGGGCTGCCTTGGCTGGAGCTGGACAGATGAAGACTGGCACAGTGGTGGCTAGCAGTGGTGACATGTGGTGTGGTTAAGAGGAACACCCTTTCTCACTGGGACCCCCCACCTCCTAGGACCTTTTATTGTGGAGCCCATGGCTGCCAGCAGACCAGAGCCTGACAGCTCCTCAAGGCCCCAGTTTGGCTCTAGGACACCTGACATCACAGTGCAGGAGCTGGATCCAAGGTCTGGCACACATGCTGCCCAACTTGGTCTTAAGCTGCATGGAGGAGAGGGAAAAGACCTGTAATCAAGAAGTCAAGTAGTTCTTTGCTTAGCGGGTGCTAGGATGCTAGGCCAGCAAAGGCCCCAAAGAGACCTAAGGGCCAGGCCAAGAAGCTGTGGTGACTTTAGTAGGTCTATGAGGTGGGGGCAGTGGCAAGGAGAATATTCCTGGGCTAGGGTGGAGGAGACAGCATGTGTGGGGCTTCTGAGGGTTGGGAAGGGGGCTGGCCGCCCGGCCCTAGTAAGAACGACAGCAGCACTGTGTACAATTAACAAAAAGATTTGTATTAGAACATTTACACTCAGGGAAGAAAGAGGTATCTGCATCATCAAATGTGGAATGTTGAAGAAATAGTTAAAATAAATAAAAGACTCCGAACGCGGCTGGGGCTGGCTCAGGCTGGGACTCACAGAGGCCTCTGCACATCAGCTCCAGGCTGCAGGGGCCAACGGCCTGGCCATACTGGCCTCCTCCCCGACGCAGCACAGCTGTGCCTGGGACACAGAGAGTCTCTCAAGCGCTGGTGCAGCCAGCAGGCTCACTCCCCGCTTTCCTCACTTATCTCTGTGACAATGTCTATCAGGCTCTGGAGCCCAAAGATATAGCCAGCATCCTGGCCCTCATGTACCACGCTGTCCTCGCCATACAGCCTGCAGGTGGTGTGTGCAAAGTCGATCATGCGCACGTCCACTGAGCTGGTGCCGATGGGCTTGTAGGCATAGGCACCAGCAGACTCGTCAGCTGACTCCTCTGACAGGTCCTCCAAGTCCTCAGCATCTGAGTCCAGGGCCACCTCAGGCCATTCCTTGCCATCATAGATGACCAGTAGGGAGCTTGAGTAGAAGCGGTAGGACTCCTGTCGCTCCAAAATGGCCTTGAGCTCAGTCAGCTTCTTAAGCACCGGGCCTAGGAGCTCACGGCGCAGGTACCGACCGTTGTGGAAAAACTGGAAAAGTGCCTCCTTGAAGCCCTGCACCGATAGCTTCCGTCCATGGTACTTGTTCATGAACATAAGCTGCCCACTGCCTGCCTGGTACACCTGTGGGAGGGAGACCAGCGGGTTAGGTACTGGCAGCCATCTCAAAGCCTGCACCTGCGGAACAGCAGCAACAGGACAGCCCTGGATCAGATCCTTTAACCTGTTAAGTACACCAGTCACACAAGACACTATCCTCTCTGATCAACCACCGCTCAGGATGCAGCCCTCTGACCTGGTTCCGTCCACAGATCCCTGCTTAGTGTATGGATCGGGGGAGAGGGACTAACCTTCTTGCCTTTATTCCCGCTCCTGCCCAGAGGCTCCGGACTCAGTCAACCAGGTGAGCCCCAGAGGGTTCACCCAAGCAGGCATGCTTTCTTCCTAACCAGAGAGCGAGAGACTCCCTCAGTCACGCTGGAATCTTGGGAAAACAGGACTACACCAGGGTTCGGGAGTGGCAGCTACTGGATGCCCTAGCCAGCCCACGCTATACACCTGCATCCCCCTCACCTGCATGCCACACACACGGACACCGATGACTGCAGATGTGCTCTGCTGGCACTTGCGGATCTGGTTGGCTGCCTTCTCCTCTGAAGCATCGTCACCGTGCTGGCGGGTACCCATCTTGAGGTCCAGGACACAAGGCACCTCATAGCGGGAAGTCAGGTTTTCCAGTAAGATGAATTCTGAGTGGTTAAGGACAATCCTCCCTCTAAAGAGAAGGTGTTGCTGCATGGGGCCTTGGCACTCCCAGGGCACAATGCCTGCACACAGAGTCTCAAAGAAGCCTGAGTCCACAGAAGGCCCTGCCACAGAATGGCATGCTATCCCCCCCATGTAGGGAGCCCAAGGCTGACTAGAGGGCTAAAAGGCGTATTCAGTTCTTGTCGGGGAACTGCCTGGGTCCAGACTCAACACAGGCCTGGGCTTCCCCCAGCCTGGGAGACACACACACACCACTTCCTGAACTCAGCAAGGTGTGGGAAGAGGGTTCCGCACCAGACTGTACTAAGTTATAAACAGAGTATTGAATAAGTCCTGTAACCTTATATGTGAACTGAAATATCGATATGAACTCATGAAAAATTTTCTCTTTAAAATAAATGTGTATTGGGGCATCTGGGTGGCTCAGTCAGGTGAGCATCTGCCTTCAGCTCGGGCCATGACCCCGGAGTCCTGGGATCAAGCCCCGCATTGGGCTCCCTGCTCAGCGGGGAGCCTGTTTCTCCCTCTCCTCCCCACTCATGTTCTCTGTCACTATTTCTGTCTCTCTAATAAATAAATAAATAAATAAATAAA